GAAAATATTGTCTAAAGCTATGGAATTTCGTCAAAACACTTAGCCTTCTGTGACTCTAGCTTTCTATTAAAAAAGCAACACCCACCCCCCCAAGGGTTGTTTATAGAATGTAATGATGTAACATAAATGCTTAAACAAGGGGTATTATCATACGTGATTTGCAGAACCTAGTTCTGGGAACTCTTGGGAAGGCAGATTGGCATTGAGATTAAGAGGTTGGGTTATGGAATTGGATCTATATTTTGATTCCCAGCGCTATCTCTCATCTAGATGTTTAATTGTGTCTTTTACTTGAACTTCTCTTCCTTCATTTCTCCATCTTTAAAATAAGGACAGTGGTAATGCCTGCCCCAGAGAGTTGTTGTGAGGATGAAATGTAGTGCTTATTATAGCATGAAGCACAAGTAGATATAGAGGTATTTTAGATGTCCATTGGTTTACCAGCAAAAATAGTTAAGAGCTTGGGATAGGAATCACTTTTTTTTTTCTTTTTCATATTGGTGGCCCTCAGAGCCCATAATTTCCTCTTTGGCATATTCAACTAAGACCAGATCAAAAATACTTGAATTTAAAAAATAATAAACAATGCAACAATAAAAATAATATAAATAAAATCAATACAGTATAGTGACTACTTAGCTTTTATGTTATATTAGGTATAATTAATCAGGAGGTGATTTAAACTATACAGGAGGATGTGTATAGACTTATATGTAAATACTACACCATTTTATTTAAGGAACTTAAACATCTTCACATTTTGTTATCTAGCGGGGTCTGGGAATCAATCCACTGTGATGGATCCTAGGACACAATCATATATTAGAACTACAGTTTTCAAGACTATTTTTTTTTATTTGGTAATTAATTTCTACTGAGCCTACTGCTACCATGTATGTCATCATTTATGGGGATAGTTGTTATCATTAGGCATAAAATGGTATCTGCATCCTTGATAAGAAATTGGAATTAGGAAGACAAGATAACTATTCTTGAATTTAGTTTGCTGGCTTCTCCCCCCCCCACCCCCAGTAATTTTCCAGAGTATCTGTACTCTCTCTTCAGATTCTTTTCCATTTTGCATTATATATTCCTGAAAAATCATTAAAGTTGGTGATATTGTATGTGTGGACAGGGAGGTTAGGGAGAGTAGCAGCTGCATGGCTGTGATGGAAAGTGCTCCTTGACCAGCAGGGTGAGTCCCTAACTACACAGAGCAGTGGTCTACTGTCTTCTTCCACAGATTAAGAGAGATTGTGCCTTGCAACTCTGAGGTGTCCAGGCATAATGCTTTTTTGTATCCTGCTTTATCTGTCTGTAATTGGTTTTCTATTTCTCGAGCTCTAGAAATACTGTGTATTTGTCACAAGGATTTTGAGCCCAGTAGAGTGTAGACATTTAAGTTTTCTAGATTCTATAGCAAATGAAACTTTACAGTGAAAGGTACTTATTTCCTTGTGTTCCTTTTCAGAGGCTGCACATTTGAGAAGAGGAAGCACATAACAGACATAATTTCTTCTTCCTTCTTAAGATTTTACTTGCTTTAGGTCTGCATCTGGGAACATGAGGACCTCTCCCGGGTGTGAATGTTGCATTGCGGCTGTGTCTGTGCTAAGCTCTTCTTAGTATCCGCTGCACTCAGCCCTCCTCTGATGTTCCCCAAGTTACTGAGGATCTAAGCTGGCTGGGCCTGGGGACACACCGAGTTAAAAGTCATGTGTGTAACTAGGCTATTGTCTATTTATATACCTGGAATTTGAAGAATGTTCAATGCAATGTAAAATGAGAATAAATGGTACCAATCATTGTTTAGAATCTACATGGGAAAGAACACACCAGTTTCTGATCTCCAGGAACATTGACAGGTGAATAATTTTAGGGAATCCAAATACAGCTGCCAGCGGAGAGAATTAGAAAGTGTGGAAATGGACAACAGCTTCCAAGTATTCCATGCCATACCCTTGCCATCATGGTGGAGCACCTTGTCACAACGCCCTCCTTCCATTGTGCCTCCTCCTCACCAGGAAACACAAAAACCTAATGTCTTTGTTTTTGAGATTACAAATAAATAAATAAATAAGAAAGAGAGAGAGAGAGAGAAATGTGAATTTGTACACAAAGTAAGAAGCATGGGGACCATTAGTCCAAGTCCATGGGTGTTTGAGGAGCTGCAGCTCCACAGAGCTCTGGGACCCCAGCTCCCTCTGTCTTCTGTCCTGTGGTCTGAAGTATGTTGGCTTTGTCCTTGTGCTGTTTGCACCATGTCGCTGCTGTGCTGTGCTCCTGCTGTCGTCCTGGACTCAGGGAGGGTTTTACTTTGCTCAGTAGGGTGACAGGCTGACCTAGGAAAGTAAGTGGCATGGGGAAAAGATATAAGCAAAACCATTTTGATGAGGGTATAAATAATACATCTTGGACACTTGGTGCCAATTAACTGGCTGCATTTTATAGTCACTTATTACATTATAATATAAACACCAGGTAGACTGAGTGATACAGTTAATATTACTGTGAAGATTCAGGTTATGATCTGCTACTTCTCTAGAAAATATGAGTACTTGATTCTTTTGCTTTTTTTAAATGTGTATATGATGAAAGTTTTTCTACATCAACTCCTGCCCACCTTATTTCTGTGATTTTGATGGTGCATTTCTCCATACTCATTACATTGGGAAATTGTAGATGCCAGTGAATAGTGTTGACTGAGTGTGGTGTTCAAGATAGACCTTCTAGTTATGCACAGTAACTCTCCTCGTTAGCTGAAACCATATTCTCTGTGTTGAATTTATATCATAAGTTCTGCTGCCTTTGGCCAAAACAGAGCACACCCTGGGAAAGGGGGTATAGGGAGAGCTGTAGCCCTGGGATCACTCTTCCTCCCTCCCCACCTGCTGGGTCTTCCCCCCACCCCCCTGTATCCATTCTCAGCAGTAACACATTGGAAGAAAGTACAAATAGTATACACTAGAGTCAATATCGTGGTTGCACTAAAACTCCTTTCCTGCTCTTTGTGGTGTGACGCTGGTTCAGAACACACTTCTGTAAGGTTAGCGCATACAGGAACCGAGGATGGGCCAGATGGCTACTTACAAAGACCACTTGTTTCTCTGCAGCTTTGTTTAATCAAACAAAACCAAGTATTTTGGACCTAAGTCTTTCTGTTATCTTCTAAGTCAGTTATTTTCTCTTCTAAATTCTAGCCAGTTCTTCCTCCCAGTGTAAGCTAGAACCTTCTCCCTAACCCTTTTGGCCAAAGAAAACTGGCTTGCCTCATAGGCTTTGTCTAATGGTTTTAGCTGAAATTGAACGCTAACCAGTTTAAAGACATTTTTCTAGTTAAAGACCTGTCTTATCTCAGTTTTCTAGCTAAAGACATTGTCTTATCCTTGCTTTCTACAGTACTTTTAAATCCTGACCAACTTCTCACTTTGAACTATTTTTTTTCTTGAACTTATTTCACCCACTGTCTCTGAGTCTTCCCATTATGGGCATCTACAATTACATTTTACTTTATTTGCAATTTAGTTTCCTCTTCATTAGTTGTTGGTTTCTGACTTGTCTATCCTAAATGAATTTAATTTCATCATATGTTTTGAAATGCAGACCCTGACATTTTATGTACCATTAAATGGTCAATAGCATAAATGCATTTTGCTGTGCATTAAGAAGGGGTGTTTATTGCACGTATATATCTAACATACTTGTTAAATAGTTCATAGAGATTTGAGCTTCATACTGCCAATTTTTTTTCAGATTTATTGTCAGCAGCCCTACAAGGTTGTATCATTTGCATGTTAAGCCCAGGCAAGCTAGGCAACATAGGAAGAAGTTGTACCTAAAACTGGCTCTTTCCAAAGTGGTTTCTCATTTTAAAGGGAAATTGAAAAAATGAGAATTTGTATTCAGTCATTTCTCTGTAGTTCTGAGTTATTGACTATTAAAGGAATAGTCCTTTAATAACATAGCAGTTTTTGTTGGTGACTACATAGGGTATTTTTTTTTTTAACCTACTCTTATAATTTGGTAAGGGGGGAAAGGTCCAGACGATGACAGCACTAAGGCAGCAAGGATCCCAAGATGGTGTCACACTCTCAAATTACCTGTAATGAGCTTAAGAGGTTTGTTTATAGATAAAGTTCACTATTCTCAGTACCTTGGCATACTATACAAGTTGAATTATTTAAAGTGTAATCCATTCAGACCGCGTTTAGTCAGAAAATAGAAATAATTGTTTTCAAGATAGGGTAAGGTAGATATATCTTATCCAAAAGAGAAGCAGCAGGGTATTGATTGGTTTTTAGAGAAAGAAAAATTCTGTTCTATTTCTAAATGTTAACAGTTGCAAGAAGAAAATTCCCAGTTGGGAAGAACATTTTCCAGGTTTCTTGGTTGCCAGGTGTTTGACATTTTGCAGAGTCTTAGAGGAATAAGGCTTGTCGCAGTCCTTGGGAATGACTCATCCAGGGATCCCTGCTTCCTTTCCAAAGCACACCAGTATGAATGGGAATGTCCCCGTGGTCTCTGTGGTACTTCTAGGAAGGACCACAGTTTTCCCCCTGCATCTGGAATAGCCACAGAAGAGGATACCTGTCTGCTGACAAATTGTAGAATGCTGTCAGTGAATGAACGGTGTGTCCTACTGTTTATGGAGTCGAGCGCCATCGTTTATTAATAAGCCTTGCTCTCTTGTGGTCTCTTTTAACACCAGCATTACATGCTACAGACATGATTTAGAATCACTCTAAAGTTTGAAAAAAAATCCAAATAATATGATAGTTGCTTTGAGACCATCCACGTTTTCCCCTTTCCCTTTTCCTCTCTCTTTGACCTAGCAGCAGGAAGCCTTTGTTTGAGGTGTTCATCTGGAACAACTTTTCCACACTTGTTTTCATGTTCTGTTAGATTACAGGGCAGCAGGCCTACCTTTGAAGCTCCTTTCTCTTTTGTTTCTTTGCCGTGCACTCCAGTAATTAACTTTGTCCTTCTTTTATTTGTTCCAGTCAATCGCAGGCCACTCTGCTGAGCATCTTCTCCCAGGAGTACCAGGTTAGAAGTTTTCTCCTTTGTGAGGGTTGACAGGTGCCTAATTGAATGATGAATGTCCCTTTATTTCTTTGTAATTGAACTGCCAGCTCTCTGATTGGGTTGGAGGATGTTCTCCTTTCCACATCAAGCACCGCCTGTGTCTCGGTGGAGGCCTGCCAAGCCTACCCATCCATCTGTCTAATAACATCTAGCCTTTGCTTATTTGGTGGACCTGTAATAAATTATGCTAAACCATTATTATTCTGACAATAATAATTTCCCTGTGTTGCGTGGTTCCATGTGCTAAATGTTTGCTGACTTGCACTGTCAGTGCCGCTTTCCATCGCTGACAGAGATGATGATAAATGACCATTGCTGGAGTGGCAGAAGGCAAGAAAGGCAGAAAATGGAGTCATTTATCATGAGATGACAGGTGTCAGTCAAGTGGCAAGTCTCTATGGAATTACTTTTTGTAGTTTTCAAATAAGTTGTTTTTAAGCAATGTTCTTCCCGGTTAAAAATGGCAATTGGATTGTAAAACTAGAGCGCAGAGGACATAGGTGGAATTGAATCGAGGGAAAATTAATACCTAGGTTGAAAGAGAGAACAAGTTTTTCTCTGCCCTCTGCAACCCTAAGCAAACTTATTTAGATTCAATTACTCTGACCCCGTTGGCTTTTACATATATACTGTACCTCCTGGTACAGTCTGATGACATCTCCGCCAAGCGATGGAGATTACAGTGCACGGGTTCAGAGAGCAGAAGGGGGAAAACCTCCTTCCACCACCCAAATCCCCAAGCTGTTACTCAGTTTGCCCCGTATGCTAGTCATTGGGATCAAGAAATATGTCATTCTTGTTTTGACCCCGATCTGTGACAGAACATAAAGATTTTTTTGTTTTGTTTCAGAAGCATATTAAAAGAACACATGCCAAACATCATACTTCGGAAGCAATTGAGAGTTATTACCAGAGGTATGACCTTCCTGCCCCACTAGAGGGTATCATCGTACCTATTAATTGTAATAATAATTATGAATAAATTAGATGATTAATTTTTTATGACAGAGCTCAAGACTGTTAAGTATGTTGTTTAAAACTTTTAGTATAATTTTGGATGAATTTTTAGTGCCTTGTTTTGTAGATAAGACTGTCCTGACACATGTGTATATATACTCAGGCTATGTGAGATGTAGTTACAATATAATGAAATTTCAGGTGTTACTGGAAACTTACTATAAGAACATGTCTTGTCTAAATGCAATATAGTGATATGTGCATATTTCTACATGTATACGTGAATGTTCTCAAACAGATCTGTTATTATTTTAGATTAGCAAGTTGGAAAATAAGATTGAATTTTTATGTAGTTGTATGCTGCATTGTAAGAATGATTATATCCATTTTAGAAATGAAAAAAAAAAGACATATTAAGTAAGGACACACAGAGACATAATGCATAACCATCGTATTTTAAAGGGGCTTTGTATTTTTAAATGAAAATCTGGGTTTAGCACCTATGGGATATTTTAATTTCAGCCCCAATTTATTACAAATAGTTTCAACCTTGTATTCTGAAACAAATAGAATCTTTAAAATAGCTCTGGATTTTTTTAGTTTTGAAATTTGTCATTGTGATGTGACTGAATAATTTATAACACTAAATGCTAATGGTTTGCATTAGGAATTGTTCATTGGTTTCTTAAATATTTCAAGGGCACATTGGAAAGGAAAACTGTTTGAAATATGCTCTGAAATTATTACACTTAAGATTGACACATCCACCTTTCTGTGGTGAGAGTGACACCACTGATTTTTAGGTGAATGATTTTCATGCATGAAAGTTTTATGAATGAAATAAATATGTGGATAAAATATTGGTGTCATGTTTCTGTAGAGTCATTTTTTTTTTGAAATTGAGAGGTGGATATTGAACAGAAAAGTTACTGAAGTTAGATTTTTTTATATGGTGTACATAGACCACAGCTGGTTAATGCATTCCTGGGTTGGTGGGCATTTAGGTTGTTTCCACATTTTGGCAATTGGAAATTGAGCTGTGATAAACAGTCTAATGCAAATGTCCTTATGAGAAAAGGATTTTTTTTCTTCTGGGTAGATGCCTAGTAATGGGATTGCAGGATCAAATGGGAGGTCTAATTTGAGTTCGTTAAGGATTTTCCCATTAAAAAAGATGGAAACTTTACATCTTTTGTATTAACCTGGATTGAATTGGAACACATTCTTCTTAGTAAAGCATCACAAGAATGGAGAAGCACGAATCCAATGTACTCAATTCTAAGCAGTAGATGAGCTAATACAAGGGCAGTAGATGAGCTAATACAAGGGGAATGAGGGATGGGGAAGAGGGGATGAGGGATCACGGTGTATAGTACACCTCTTGGGGGTGGGACACAATTATAAGAGGGACTTTACCTGACAATGCATCAGTCACCCCTAATTCTTGGTGCCCTCAATGAATCCTAAACAATAAAATAAGTATAAATAAAAAAAATATGATATTGACAGTACGTGATAAAAATTAGTTTCCGAAAATTTGAACCATTTTTTTCAATTAACACGATGTACTTTGCATTCTATGTCCCATTGACTATACAAACGTGAATAAGACACAGGGCGTGCCTTCAGCTATTTTGCTTAGTGGGAAAACAGCTGTGTGCGTAAATATGTAAGTGCAGCCAGAGAAGTGCTAACAGGTATGTCTATCCCGGGTGCCCTGGGAGTTCCAACGATGATAGAATCCAGGGCAGTGTGAACATGTGCCGTCTAGCAGTAAGAGTTGCCTTTACAGTTTGTTAGGAAGGACCTGGCATTCCACGCTGAGAGAAGACAGCCAGGGCTGGAGCTGTGGGTATTCTTGGGCCAGGGCATGGAGCACACAGGGGGAAAGGCAGGATGAGTCTGAAAGGGCAGTAGGCGTCCATGGCCTTGTGCAAAGGACTGGGAATATATTTTTTTAATTAGGCGGTGTGGACCCAGTGGTAGGTTCTAAGCTTTTAGCAAGAAGTATTCCAGCCGCACTTTCACGTTTGGAAGATAATTCTCTGGCAGTGTGAGGGTTCGACAGGTGAGCACCTGCTAGTGGGGAGCCTTGAAGTCAGCTGTTAGTGTGGTTCTGCTGTGTGGCAGTCTGGTGGGAGGGGCAGTGGGTGTGGGCTCCAGAGATTATTTAGAGTTGGGATCAACAAAGGTGGTGTTGAGATATCAACTTAGTGTAGAATTTTGGTAGGCTTCTAAGGTTTTACCATTATAATTACTTTGAAGATATTAAGGATCAAGTAACTCTGTCTTATATTTGAAATAGGCACATATTATTATTTTAAGATTGGGTGCAAATGGATCTTTCATGCTCGGAAAAACATCATAAAGTAGCCTTCTCTGAAGATCTTTCAAGGATGATTTCACTCGTAGGAAATACTTGTTAGTCCTTCCATGGTGAAGCTAGAAGGTAACGTAGCTTCTGTGGGAAATAGTTTTAATCGGGAAAGTAGCTCTGGTCACCTTAAGGGAGTGTTCAGGATGGCATCTGTATATCCTGATTACTAATCACACATTTTATAGTGATCTGTTAGGTGAGGGTTCAACAGTCATTCACGTAACCCTACTCCAAGGAGCTTCTAATCTGGTTGGAGAGAGAAATAGACAGTTATACCAGTATGAAAATTGCAAAGCTGTAAGTTTGCACAGGCTGATATGAGGAATCAGAGAAAAGGAGTGTTAGGATTTTCTGGTAATGTCTTTACAGAACACATTCTGTAATTAGCACGTCCCTTTGATTGCATATCAGAAAATTTAAATAAAGCCTATTACGTCATTTTGAAGGGCAGATTAAAGTTGCCAGAGAACATAAATACAATGTCAAATTAAACTTAATTTTTTTCTCTAACACTTTCGAAGTGCTATGGGGTATAGTTGGGAAACAAATTGGGCAACAGATACATTCAGAACAGATCTACCTTTTTCAACATATGAGGCAGCTCGCTAGGCCTTGGGGGGTCAGGGTTCCGTTTCTAAGCTGTGTTGCTTCTCAGCTGAGAGTGCACAGATGGGTTTTATCATTACCCTGGGTTTGGATTTCTCTTTACATGACTAAGAAGCTTTGCAACTCTTTGTAATTAGGAATTTGCACTGTATGAAGTATGGTCATACTTTGAATGTTGCATAGACTACATAGATATAGGGGATTGTTATTATTTGATTATCTACTGTTTATTTCAGTTTTATTTTCCTGAGACAGAGTCTCACCACGTCACCCCTGATAGAGTGCTGTGATGCCACAGCTCACAGCAACCCCAGGCTCCCGGGCCCAAGCGACTCTCCTGCCTCAGCCTCCCAAGCAGCTGGGACCACAGGTGCCTGCCGCAATGCCTGGCTGCTCTTTTTTTGTTGTTGTTGCAGTTGTCATTGTTATCCAGCTGGCCTCGGCCAGGCTCAAACCCGCCAGCCTCAGAGCATGTGGCTGATGCCATAAGCACTGTGCTATGGGCTCCAAGCCATGTTTCTTTAAATTTGATAGAAAGGCCTCACTGGTTACTTCCAAGATAATGATTGATGCGACCTTTCTCTAAATGATATTGCCTTGCTTTATTTTCTTTTTCTTGCCTCCAAAATTCCTTATTTCCCAGTTTCCTGAATAACATATTCAAGAATGGCCCCACTCTATGGAAAATGGATTTGTGGGAATTATTACTTTGCTTACGGGAAAGTTATATATCCTTACAGATAACTTGTGATATGTTATAATTTAGTATCTGTTCCTGGCAGTGACATGAAAGACCTTACCTGTTGACTTTGTTTTTCATTCTCAGACACATATCCTGAACTTACTCAAAATCATACTGTAGAGAAAATGTCCATACCTGCTTCTACTTTCTTGGTCAATATAGTTTAAAAATTATTTAATTGTTCATTTAGTAAAGAAGAAATATGTATCTGTATTATATGATCACCTACTGTAAACCAAGATCTGTGCTAGGCCTAATAAGTTGATTGGAGTACAGTTTCCTAACCCTCATGGGTTTTCCACATTATCCTGGGCGATGGGTTTGAGGTAGATGAGTAGGCAAATACAGTACGTTCTGTTATGTTGTAGAGAGATGTGCAGGCTGCTCCTGGACTGCATGGGAGGGGCATTTAACTGAGTCTTTGATGTGGGTAGATTGAAAAAGGTGACAATCGAGCTAAATCGTGAGTTATCCAGGTGAAGAATCGGAGTAGAGGGCGTGAACTAAGAGATGAGGCTGGCCAGGTGGCGGAGGTGGGAACCGGATAGTGAAGAACCTTACTGGAGCAGTTAAGAGGTTATCATTTAATCTTGAGATTTAATGTTCGGCCTTTGAAGCACATTATTTTAAGGGGCTGAATGGCACATCCAAATTTAAAAAGAAAATTAGGCCAGCTTCCGTGTCTGGGATGGATTTGGGGGATTTTGTCTGTTGCTTGTTTGGTTTTTTTTTTCAGTGAAGTTAGGAGACGAAGAGAGTTAAAGATTATTACAGAAATTCAGGGCAGATGAGATGAGGGTGCGTGTCGCCTCTCACAGGTGTGCTGACCCACTGATGACAGGTCTGTTCCATTTTTTTCTTAATAAGGTACGGGCAGCCAGCCTTGTGAAGCAGAGGTAAAGAACCAAGTGCAATGGGTATATTAGGCGCTTTTTGGGAGAGTATCAAGGTCTTCTTATTTCCTTTCCACATCATGGTTGTCTATGGCATAGACAAAGGCAGACGGATAGGGATCGTTTTTTTGGAAATCCCCTCTGTGTTCACTTTATGTGTTCCGAGGTGAAAATAAGGCACAGCCGTGTGCTCATCCCTCCTGCCCCTGCCTTCAGTTTCTTGGTGGCCCGTGGTCTTGAGGTAAGTTGTTTTCGTGATCCTTTTCCCTTCAAGGCTTCCTTATGACAGTAGCCTGCTTTAACTGGAGTTGAGCGTGACATTTGCCCAGGAGAAACGTAGCCACACAGGGGATGCTGACAAGTCTGTGCTGGCCCTTTCTTGTCACTGCATTACCACTTGGCTTTGTCTTGTCTAGGTACCTGAATGGGGTGGTGAAAAATGGAGCTGCCCCAGTGCTCCTGGAGCTGGCCAATGAGGTAATGTTATTGTTATGATTTTATTAAAACTTGCATAAAACCTAAGGGGCCGATCTAGAGTAACTTTGCTTAGGATTGTAATTAGCTAAAAAAAAAAGAAAGAAAGAAAGAAAGATTTTGAGATGCAGGAGACATTTAAATTGCTCCCTGATCTCTCTGTACTTGAATAATTGGACAAAGAACTTCATGCGTTAATAAGTCAGTTGACATAATTAGTCTACTTCTTGTAAGGCAAATGTATAAACAGCTTCTTGGTTTCTTGTTTTGTGGAAAATTTTAACCAAACACCTCAGGACATGCTCTTCCCAGGCTATGTTGTCTTAATTTAGTATGAGAAATACCTGTGTCAGGTAAAGAGACAGATGCAAAAAAAAACTATGCTAACTATTATAAAAATGAAGAGAGAAATTGTATACATCAAGATGTAACATTTACTTGATTCTTTTTTTTCTATTAGCACACTTTTATAATAAATAAAGAAAAGTATCTTTCTTTCTATGACGAAGCATAGTGTCCTGATTAACACCGAGTCTACAGTGATTTATTGACCTCTTTGTTAACTCTGATCTTCTGTTTGGGGAAACAAATACCAGCCTTACATTTACAAAAAGGAAACCCCACAGATCTCCCATGAATGAAGAAGCTGTAAAAAGTTGATAATAGTTGCAGAGAGCATACCGAAAAAATAAAATATTCAATTCCTAAACTTTAAAATATTTATCCACTGTAATAAGAGCAATACAATATTTAGTCTGCCTTGAAACTGCTTGTGCAAACCTCACAGGGATAGAATGAAATGTACACTGCTTTTGTGTTGCCTTGTAATGGAAAACATAGAAGCAAGGCAGAGAATGTGTGTTTGCATTCAAAGATGACGCGGTACTGTGAGCATTAAGAGTTGCAGGAGTAGCACGTTCTGCGTGTTATATTAGCAAGGAAGGGTGGCTCCCCACAGCTTCTATCTGCTGTACACGGCCGCAGTCAGCCCATGAGCAATTACCTATCCGTGACTAGATGGTTTTAATAGTCCAGGCAATGTCTATACCATCTGATAGGATAGTTAACATATAGAATGGATTTCTCTCCTCCTCCTAGCAAAGCACGTATTTTATTCATTTTTTTTCCTGTTTTGAAGCATGGTGGTTTTTAAAATGTCTCCAGACTTGTTTGTTGCCAGTTGATACTATTACCAACTTGAGGCGTTTGAGGTGTAACTGGGAATGTAATGATTGTCCTTTATGAAGAAGAAGAGTGAGCTAACGGCATTCTAGATACAGCATCTAGAAAGAATGCGATGCTGTGGCACTCATCTTTATAGATGATGATGTGGACGATCTAAGTTTTATATAGTGGCGATTTATATTCATTTGAATATTTAATGATAGCTCTGTTGAGCTTAGCTTACGTGGCTGACCTCAACTACCATCTTCTAGTAATGTGGAGAAATCTAACCCACTAATACATTTTGTCCTACCTCAGTAAACCTGTTATTTATCATGAATATGGAGCAATATTTAGCTAAAGAGAAGACATAGTTATTTAAAGATTTTCCTTCTCCCTTGGCTGTAGATTCGTGGAGAGAGAATAACAGTTTCGTCTGAGCTTTCTTATGCACAGGGAGATTTGGGAATGGCTGCCACCAGACTATGGCTTCTAAACAACCAAGCTGCCATTTTTATATGATAGTTAATACTCAAATGACATATGGCTGCATATGGTGACAATTGATGTGATGGTAATACTTTATGAGTCAATATATATTTAATCAGTGGAAACTGTAAAAATTGATGAGAAATATATAACATTGGTGCCTTACAGGGTACAGCAGCTCTCTTAGACAAAAGCACCCTATTTTTGTTGACCTGGAGGTTGTGGGCTGTATGTGGCCATCGCTGATTTTATCAGTGTCGTCATAGTACCTTTCCTGTTTTTGAGGCTAAAAATGAACATTTTAGGAAATCTCATTTTGTTAGTAATAATAATATCAGTCATTCTGTTCTCTCCACACAAATATTTTCAAGTGAGATTTGAAGCACTGTGAATTTTACTTACATGCTGAATTCTGACATGAAGCATGATGGCCCTATTTCAGAGAAAGATGGACACATGATTAATATGAAAATTAGGGAGATGCGAGTACCTGAACTAATAAGGTAGTCCTTATTCAGGCTGGACTACCTTCAGTAATTTCACCATTTTTCATGTGTCAGCTCTGATGTGGGTTACTAGGAATAAGCAGCTTCGTGGAAAGCATTTCTTTCTACTTGGGGAATTTAAGGGCATCCAAGTACATACATATTTGGAAAAAAACTGTTCATACAAATGAAGCCAGCCTTTTTGTCTAGTTACTAAATCAAGATAAAATTTTGGTATGAATACAGGACTTGAAAACCTGTCAAGAAAAATTCACGGTGATAATATATGAGGAACATTTGCTATCTTCTACCTAAGATACAAAGACTCGTTTTAAGGAAGCATAATTGCTCTTAAAAAACATATACCTATATTCTGGTGAAATCAAGTCTATGGTGAATGAAAGAGCTGAGAACCAAAAAGAAGACAGTATCTTTACAAAAGAATAAACGCGTATTTTAAAATTAAAGGGACTGTTGGGCTGAGAATTCTTTGTTTTTTGATTATTTCTTTATCTTAAAAAGTTACCCTTCTAGTTTCTAGTTTCTGTATTAACTAAGTTGACGAGTGACACTTCAGATAAGCTGGGGGACGATGATCTTATATTGCAGTTATTGTTGTGCTTTATCATTAATATCTCTGCCCATAGTTGTTTTTCTTTTATCAAATACAATATTTTATGTGTAAGGAACTTATACCAACATTTCAGTTGTCTTTAAAGGTGAATTGGTAAAATTCACATTTTAATGAGGAAGGACATTTGTTTCTGATTCTTAAAACAATCACTGAGTAACGAAAGGGCTTTTTGTTTGAAATTACATTCAAAGCAGTATCAATATAGACAGTTGGGTAGAAAAGAAGGATAGCCAGAATAAAAATATATATATATATATTGGCCTACCAGCAGAAAAAATGGAGGGGAAATGAGAAAAGTCCCTTTTACTCTTTGAGACTAGTACCATTTCTAAGTCGTTCTATCCTTTTTGCTCCAATATAGTCAATAAATTTGACCCACTTAATCTTCTCACCAGCACAGATCATACGTGTTATAATTTTATTATAATGGAACACACCAAGGGTAGGAAAGATCTTAATGAATGATGCTTGCTGTGGTTGATCAAAATTGACTTAATCTTTAGTGTTGACAAAATATTGGAATATCAACTGCTTGCACAACTTGACAGTTTTAATTTTTTACTTGTGTTTTATAAAGGTGGACTATGCACCCTCATTAATGGCTCGGCTTATACTAGAGAGGTTTCTGCAGGAACACGAGGAAACTCCACGTGAGTTACCTTTTTTTTTTTTTTCCTTAATGGTACTCTTTTACTCCCTTCTCCCAATTTAAAAATAATTTACACAGCATTTCAAGTCACTTAATGAGAGCCAGATTCCTAAACAGCTATCATGTGCAGTTAATGACAATTAAATGCAATATAAAAGACCACCCACAACTTAAATACTCTTCAGAATAATCCTTTCTTCTTTGTCTAAATTCCACATTCACCTCTCCATTCAGCTAAATAGACAATGTGTATCAAACTCAAAAAATTGATTCATCTTTCATGTATAGAATAAGATACATCATTTAAAAAACCACTGTCAGGAACTGGCTCTAAAAGAAACATTCATCCTTTTTATTTTAATTCAGCAAGACTGGAGAAATACTACTTCCAAATGCAAAAATGAATTCCACTGGTCTTCAGACAAGAAATAAAAAAGAAAAAAAG